TTCTTAATCAGGGTGTTGAAAAAATTGCAGAAACTGTTTAACTGTCGTTTTCACACTAAACAAAGGATTCAAATCAATAAAACTTTTAATTTTTTCCTAGTTTATGAATGTTTTTGTTGAACCTAACAAGTTTTATATATCAATTAACATAACAGTATTTTTAAAAAAGATTAATAAAAATAGTGATATTTTTTTTTCATGCATCTAAAGTAGAATAACTTCTTTATTACTATAAGAAACGATGTGTGATGAATCGGTCTGAAGTTTTGATGGTGTTATTGATATATTTAGGTCTATCGAAATAACATGAAGTCGTTCATATCCTGCATTGGCTTATTATTTAAGCAACAAAATTTATTTATGGCGCTAAGTTTGTTGCTGATTAGTTGCTCTATTAAGAATTTTGTTGTTTATTTAGATTCAGAGCAATTATTTATAATATCCGTCAAAAATGAATTTTACTACTGCTAGCGTGACGACGCTGATATACATACATATATCTTTCGATAAAAAAATTATCATAACTTGGGTAATTTATGAATTTTGCGGCAGTACTACTTTAATATTTAATTTATGATACTAAAAATATTCAAAAACATCATTTCTAATAATTTTTTAAAAAAATATCAGTACTTATGTATGATACCTTCATTTATTTTTTATTTAGTACTAGCTGACCCAGTGAACTTCGTATCACCTATACAATACAGTTTATTATACACCTTTCGAACAGCGATTATCAATCTTTAAACTCTAATCTACTTCGATAAAGAATAAATACTGGCTGCATGAAGTGCAGTTAGAAGTTCTTAAATAAAGCTCGCTTCTCATTATCGCCTGAAAATCAAGATCCCAAGAAATGAACACTGAATTTATGAATTTTTTTTTTGTTCATATATCCAGAAGATAGACGATTAACAATTTTAGATCTGTTGATTTCCTTAGCTGCACTTTCGGCTTTTTCAAAAATTTTATTCTTTCGAAAACATCTCTGAACTATAGCGAACAAAACAAAAAGGAAATTGTTGAAATCGGTCCAGTCGTTCTTGAGTTTTAGCGAGACTAACGCACAGCTATTCATTTTTATATATATACATATATATTTATATAGATATCTCGTGTCGAAATTTGTAAATTTATTGTAAATTTTTACAATAGTTAATGAAAAATGGTCTCTTATTATCTTCAAAACTTTATTATGAAATCCGAAAAAATAATTTTATGTGAACTTAAGCGGCAAAAAAATTTTTTTGGTAATATTTTGTTGAATTTAAGTTGACAATTATTAATTTTTGACTTGTTGTTATATAAAATTTACCAAAAACTCAACAGTTTTTTATGTGACGCTTGGGAAGTAGCATCCAATTTCTTTGATGAAAGTGTTTTTTCCTGGAACCTCAAAATCCAAAATTAAAATTTAAAAAAAAATCCTGACGAAAATAAAAAAATTTTTGTTTCTTTATATTATTTTCAATTTCGAATGATTGATTTCGAAAAATTCTATTTTTTTTTCTAATTTATTAAATAATTATAATTTTCATATTCGAAACATTTATTGTTGGTAGTTTTACGATTATTAAGGAAATTGTAGTAGTCAATATACGATAAATTAAAATAAAAAACCCATAAAAATTCCTAAAATTAAATAACAAATAGTATATGAGGCATTAATCGTTGAAATTTTGAAAATAAAAAAAAAAAATAGTTAAATACAAAAATTAATTTGACTCTTTCAAATCAACTGCTAGTAACCTGTCCGTGATTTGGCAACGCTGTACTTCGATTGTTTACATTTTCATTTGCACAATATAACCTTAACCACGTTTAAGGAGGTCCTTTCGCCGCCAATGTAAAATAAAAAATATTAGATTATGAGTAAATTAAATTTTTTTCTAATAGTTGAAGTCCTTATTTATCTAATAGTGAGGTTTAAATTATACTTTACCGGACAAATTTTTGAAAAAATAAAATTTTTAAATGTTAGTATTTGTTCAGAGTCTTACGAGACAGTCAGACGTTTGCAGTATTTCTCGAATTATACTATCAGTCATGGATTAGATGAAGTAAAAAAAAACCTAAAAATTAAATTTTCGAAATATTCAGGTTTCTTTTTTTGAAATAAAATATATCAGTTACCGAGATATTGATTGAGAAATTAATATTTAAAAATCACAAAAAAATCTCAAGTAACCTACGTTAAAATAGAGTCAAAACATTTGGCAACGTTGTGTAGCGCGCGAGCTTCAGACCATTCAATAAATTAAAACTAATTCATTTATTTACACTGACTGCAAAAACTTAAACATGGTTAAGGTTATATTGTGCAAATGAAAATGTAAACAACCAAAGTACAGCGTTGCCAAATCACGGACAGATTACTTGCAGCTGATTTGAAAGAGTCAAATTAATTTTTGTATTGAAACTATTTTTTTTTTTTATTTTCAAAATTTCAACCATTAATGCCTCATATACTATTTATTATTTAATTTTAGGAATTTTTATGGATTTTTTATTTTAATTTATCGTATATTGACTACTAAAATTGTTTTGACTCAACTGGAGCGAAAGGATTTCCTTAAAAAATGAAATTTATAATGAGACTAAATTTTTTTTGCACGAGTCTATTCGGATATTTAATTCATAGGTAATGTATTAATGTTGATGCTAGTATATGTATTTATACATGTCACTTGTTACAGTAATGACTGTTATTATTGTCGTTACCTCACACTCATATCATTGCTCGTTACTTTTTACTAGATTTAATACTGCAAGTTTTATCATAATTTTTCATTTGAACGAGATAATTCTCTGACTGCCACCTCCCGTTCATATTTAGCTTTTTAAATATCTATATTAGGTAATACATATATACATACATTTAAATTACGAGTTCTAACCTTAAAAAATAAACTGATAATATAGCATAAACTCACGCGTAAACATATTATATTATTCTTCATAAGCAGAATTTGTTGTTTAAATAAAAGTAAATATAATTAAATACTAACATTCTCATATTGATAACAATAAAAGCAATGGCAGAAGTTGCAAAAATCTTTAATTCATTTCAAGATTACCTTAACTATGAACAAGAATTGAGAGAGGTAAAAATTATTTTTTCACATTTTATAAATTTATAAACTTATTTATAAGAATTTACTCATTTTTTTTCATGTAAAAAAATTTTTATTATAGGAAATACGTGTTATTGTCCGAAAGCTCGAAAAATGTTCTCGAGATATTTTAATGGTTTTACAAAATATTCACAATGAAAATCCAATGGAAGAAGATATTAGTAAGTTGTCAATATAAATAAATAACAATAGATAAATAAATCTTAATATTAATAAAATTAACAGAATTTTTTGAACTAAAATTATTATTTTTTAAATTCAAATGCAAGAAGTAAAAAAATGAATGCTAATTCTTGAGAATATTTTTTTTTCTACAATAATTTATTTGTTATAAATAATTCTAAAAATGAACAGATATCTGTATAGTGTTGAAAAGTCTGATGATACTGAAATCAACAGACATCTGACAATTTTTTAATTTTGTTTAAAAAATAAATTATTTCTAAGCACAATTTTTTTTTTTAAATTACATTTATAGTTTTTTTAATTTCTACATTTGGAAATCACACAAATTATTACCATGTATTGACAATAATATTTTTTACTTTTTATAGTTGTATCGCAGTACTGTGCAAAAGCACGAGAACATTTTGAAACGGTTCGTCAATACTATTCAGAATTGGAAAAATTGGTACCAAATGATCAGTATTACCGATTCCATGATCAATGGCGTTATGTTACACAAAGACTGTGCTTTCTTGTTTCTTTAATCATTTATCTAGAGGTCAAAACACTTGTTACTAAAGAAACAGTTGCTGAATTTCTTGGAAGTAAGTAGCTAAAAATAGTTAGACAAATATTACAAGTTTACGCGATACCACACAGAATATTATTGAGTTAATTGTTTTAAATAATTTTTTTTTTAAGTTAAAAGCAACCGTGAAGAAGGCTTTCATTTGGATATTGAAGAATTTCTGATGGGCTTGCTCGAGTTGTCTGCTGAACTGGTGAGTAAACAAATACTTATGATTTATTACACTGAAAAAAAATATCATTCGATTACCTTTTTATTTTGTAAACAACTAAACATTTTTTACATTTTCATAAGTATAATTTAGAATTTTGCTGTTAAATCAAGAAATTTTCATATTTCTGCTGCATTCGATAATACTTAAAAAAAGTAGATATCTAATAAAAATCTATGTTATAAATGTAAGATAATATAAAATTAAAGTATCAATTAAAAAAAAAAAGTACTTTTAAAAATTTTTCAAATACTTCAGATGTGCTGTAGATATTTTTTTTTTTATATTTCTAACATTAAATTTTAAAACTTATTAGATAAATGAAACTGAATTTACTTATGATTACTTTAATTTAATTTCAAAAATATGAGTTGATAATTGTAAATTATCTTTTCTTATTTTTGTGTTATAGACACGATTTGCAGTAAATAGCGTCACATGTGGTGATTACAATCGACCAATTGAAATTGCACGTTTTGTCAATGAATTAAATGCTGGTTTTCGATTGCTCAACTTGAAAAACGACAATTTGAGAAAACGCTTCGATGCTTTGAAGTACGATGTCAAGAAAATTGAAGAAGTTGTTTATGATTTAAGCATTCGTGGTTTAAAACCAACAAGTCAGCAAATTTCACCGGCTCAATAAGTTTAAAACTATTTATTATTTTTTCTACTTTTTCATATATTTTCTCTGACTTAAAACTTTATTACTTATATTATATTAAAAAACAACATTAGTTATTTATAACACTAATTAAGATAAAAAAAAATAATTTCATTTCTACCGTACTCGATACATTTGATAAAAGTATATAATACTGATAAAAATACGTAATATAATATTTGATACATAAATAAATAATAAAATTAATATTAAAAAATATTTTTGTATCTGTTATCAATATCCACGTTGAATATTCAATACATTTGGTAATGTTTCACCTTTCATGTATTTTTCGTAATTACTTTTGAATAAGTTTGCAATACCATCTGCTCTTACAGTACACGCATTGTGTGGTGTTATTATCACCTACAAATATAAAAAATTGTTCATCAATTTTTTTGAAATTTGCATATCTATGTTCTTAAATCTTAGTATAAAAATTCAAAAATAAATTGAAAAGATTTATCAAAACATTATCAGTACCTGAGGCATTGTCCAAAGTTTGCTGGTTGATGGTAAAGGCTCGACTTCAAAAACGTCTAGAATTGCAGCAGTTATCCATTTATTTTCAAGAGCGTTCACCAAGTCATCTTCTTTAATTATATTTCCTCTACCAACGTTCATAAAAATTGCATTATTTTCTTTACAATTTTTTAACATGTCGCCATTCAACAGCCCATTAGTCTCTGGAGTGGCTGGCATTATATTTATAATATAATGACAATTAGATAGAAATTCTGGTAATGAATTTGTCGTCCGATACTCGTCAATGTAAGGCTCTTTTGTAGTTGGAATCGTGCGAGTTAAGCCCCAAATTTTTGCATTGAAATGTTTCAAACTCCTCGCAACTGAAAAAATATAAAAAATTTTGAGTTGTAAATTTTCAAAAATCCAAATTTTTTTTCAATTAGCGCTTAATAAAAATATATAAAAAAATCATCTTTACTAGATTCAAGTTTTATGTTACAAAAAATTTTGATACTTACCGACTTTTCCAATGTTGCCGATACCCATAATCCCAATATTCATTTGAGAAATTAATCTCCGAGAAACAAACATTGAATTATGTGGCCAAACCGCGCTTTTAAGTTTTTCATATTCTTCTCTTTGTCGTCTTTCAAAAGCAACGATTTGCATAATAATGTACTCAGCCATATCTAAACCATACGTCTCATCAACGAACCTAGTAATTACAAAGTTAATGTTTTTTTCATGACGTAATTCAATTAGCTGTTCAACTCCGGCTGATATTGACTGGATCCATTTAATATTGTTTAATTTGCCTCTTATTTTTGGCAAGTACCGACAGTCTGCTATCATTATTTCAACGTCATCCAATTTAAGTGATTCAGTACTGCTTTCTGTTAAAAAGATCAATACATTGCTTTTAAATAAATACTTATAATTGTTAAATGACAATCAACTGTTTACATATAATATACTCTAGTGATTAGTAATAGGCATACTGCAGAGAATTTTTATGTTACGCAAATGACTACACGAGTAATAATAAAAAACTACTTTTGACAGTTTACAGTTTTCTTTTTGAAATTAAAAATAAATATAGAAATTAAAAATTGAATTTTTTTTAACGTTAAAATTAGAATAAAATTATTTGATAAATTATTATTATATCAATAAAAAAAAATAATTTTATTTTTCTCTAAATAAAATTTGTAATGATAAAAAAAATTAATCATCATAACACAATCTTATCATTTATTATGAAGAAGAGAGAAATCAAATAAAAGTACACTAACAAGAAAAATTTGATAAGCATAAAGAAAATCGAAGTGATACTCAATTTTGACCTTGAAAAATTTATTTATTAATAAAAAGTGTTATTTTTAATTTACCTGGATTAATATAAATTAAATCTAGTTTTGGCATAATTTTTTTGATATGTTGTGTTAAAATTGACATTGTGGTAAACACGACAATACGACCCATCTTTACTTAAAAATCTTTAGACTAACAGAAATATATTTGATGATGCGTCTATTGTTCAACGGACCTTATTCAAACGTCAACTAAATACACTACTATGCATTATGTCAATATATGTATTTATATCTTCTAATGCAATAGTCAGCGTAGTAGGAAATTTCAAATTTCGCGTCATGCTGATTGTAAGGCTATCGTTAGTGTAAACAAGCCTTTAATCCCATATTTCCTAATATAAAATTGAGATGAAATGTATGTGGCATCAAACTATTCGTAACGTGATTGGTCGAATATATCATAAGCATGAAAATAAATGCAAACTCTATAGTTAGGCGCGCGCTTGCGCGCGCAAAATTCAATTCTAGTT